TGTTTATTTATTATTCTGAGGGGTTTAAAGTACAAATGTGTTCCTAGCATTAAATATAGCATATATCATCACTACTTAAAGCAGAAATATTCAGTGTGCATTTGTCCTCTTTCATGATTATATCTGAACAGTGTTTATATTATTTTTAGTGTTATTTCGTATTTACTGCTTACCAAACACCCTGTGAGCTACATTCAGACAGGAGGAGAGATGAAAGTGTGGCACATTCATTTGCCATTAATTGTTACTGGTTTTTAATCCCGGTCCCACCTTTTCTGTGGCAGTTTTCCCTGGGTGGAAAGGGGCTGGTGGCTGAGGGACGTGGGGTCATGAGTTCATGAAGTGTGGGATGCGGTCTGCTGAGGGTTAGCGTTGCCCTCCCAGGCAGCTTATGATCCTTACTGAATCCTGCCGGCACCCGGTCCTGGTCCTCTGGGCTTGGGAGACACGGCCCAGAGCCTGCAATAAAAAACACCAAGCAGCAAGGAGCAATCCTGCAGCCAGCTAGGGCGCTGGGTGTTGCCAACGTGCCCCTGGGCTGCCTCGCCGGCAGCCGGCCAGCAGCCCCAGGGCAGCTGCGTGTCCTGGCTCGGGGTTAGGACAGGGCTTCCCCAGGCAATGCCTTCTCTTCTCCTCAGGTGATGGCAGACAAGGGCCAGATCGTATCAGAAAGTGTGGCTTTGATGCTCGTTACCATTACTAAAAATATCTTTACTTAAAGAGATACCAAATCAGTGCTGCCAGCTCCACTGTAGGGTCTTAAACCAATACCTGGCATTGCAGCAGAGAGGGTGTGCATTTGTTTGGCATGGGAAACTAGAAGCAAAGGGAAGAAAATCAAAATACTGTTATCTTCTCTACTGCAGCATCCATTTTTGTCTGCGCTTCTGGGTTTAATGAGGTAGCTGATGGAAATCAGAGGTGCTCCCTTTGCCCATTGCAACACTAGGATGAACCCCTCAGTGATCTTAAATTCATCCTCTGGCTGCCCTTTCCTCATGACTAGAGTGAAATGAGGCAATAACCTCATTTGATTTGCACATCCCACAAAACTTGCCAGTGAGGTTAGAGATCTCTGTGCAGCTGATTTAAGCCTGCTGGTTCTGGGTTGGTTTCTTCTTCATAAACTGCGTAGAGGTATGCTGCTGACCCCGCAGGTTGGAAACCACTGAAGTAGATGAATATTAGAAATGTGATGCTGATGGATTTAAAGAAGAAACAATCTGTTCATGCAGTATGAGAGATACAAATATGAGCTAACAGTATGGTTGTATGGCTTTATTTTTCACTCTGGAAGTAGGGATACATTCTAAATATGGTATTTTGGGCCCAGTTCCTAATGAGATCCCAGATATGGCAGAGTACAGGCACCTCAGCAATAAGGACTAAAGCTGATCAAGTGAACTTTGCATAATTATGAGCTGAGAAATTAAAGAACATAGCGTCTGTCACTCATGTCCCAGAGGTGAGCACAGACTGATAGCACAGACTGGTATCAGAGACCACGGAGAGAAAATACTGTGTATGAAAGCATGATGCAGACCTGAGCTGTGTTCCAGGGAGGAAAGCAGTTAGCTTTATGGGCTTGTACATTCGCACTATTAGTGTACCTATTAACAAATGAGGTAGATTATTCCTACTAGGCACCTTGAATTTCTTGAAAGAATGGTATTCTGGATATTGCTGAAATTAAGTTGTCTTATGCTTGTCAGTAAGGAAAAAAACTATAAGAGAGTCAAAAGATTTTGGACAACACTTTCTTAGAGTCTAGATAGCAAAATGGCCACCTTGTTGGGTTTTGATTTGACAACCTGATATTGGCATTAGCTTGAAAAGTTAATAGTCATTTGGTCTTCTCCTGCACAATAATAATACTACAGCTATGTGTCCGCAGGTGATAATGTCACTACATGGACAGTAAATGCTCGCACTTACCAAAGCTGGGAGCCAAATGAAGCCCCGAAGGCTATTTAATCACCTAAATTGAAGCTTCATTTTCCTAAGTGCTGTGGCTGTAGTGACTTTCATGGAAGTCAGTAGGTTTAACTCATTATTTTAGTTTCCTTTTTTTTAATATTGCTTTCAAATACATTTTATTGTGTTGTTTTGTTTTCTTGTTGTTTTTTATATTTTATTTCTGTATTTCCAGTGGGACTGTTCTTAAAAAACAGATTTTATAATCATACTGATAAAGGTGTTACATTCGAAACGTTATTTAGGGGTGAAGAAGAAACACCTTATAGATAAAGCCAAGAATTTATTGTTAGTATCATTTAAATTTTAACACTGTAGTCCAAGAATCATTATTAGAGATCTAATTATTACAGAAAATAATACTTCTGTGCAGAAAAAAGTTTCAGTAATATGTTATACACACACTTAGCTTCTACCGCTTTTCCTGGTGTTTCGTCCACCCTCCCCCTGCTCCTGCGGGTCCCGAAATGGGCAGTTTCAGTCTGGTGGGGGTCGGTGGGGGCATTACGGCATGTCATTGGCATCTGGAGTCCTTTGCTGGGAAGGATATGATATTCATCGTGATGGTTTCTTTTTCCTCACTCTAGGATGTACTTGGGGGCATTTTTATGTTTGCTAACACACTTTTAGACCTTGCTGTTTCTTCACTGATCTGAAGCTCCACGTTACAGCCAGGTTTACTATACACAGTGCCTTTCACGTATGTTAGATACTTCTTTGTTCTCCTTGTTACCCCTAAAAGCAGTTTTGTCCAGCCCCAGATCTGCGTTTCTTTAGCTGAGCACTGGTGAGTTGTTTATAGCTGTGAGGTCTCCAGTGCCAGCCTGTGCCCATCTCTCTAGCAATGGCAATACCATATCACAGGGCTACAGGGTCACAGAGGTCGTGATCAAGTCAGGCATGCTTCATACAGTATGGACTATATATGTAGAAAATGTGAAATAATGTACACATGAAAGGTAGCCGTAGTTTGGAGTATCAAATATGTATTTTTCTAACGGGCTCTCTGCTCACCCGTCTGTTATAATGTAAACAGTAGCACACTGTTGTGGTTGGATCTCTCTGTTTTGCTTTTGTTTTATGAAATATTTTCCAGTCTCAGTAGTTGTTTGCTGAGACAAATAATACAGTAAATTGCACATCTGACAGAGCTGGCATTCTAGTTACTCATTATCAGGTAATATTCATACAGATGAGAAAAAATGCTGAATTTTTATAAAACTCAGATGCAAAGACACAGTCCAATAGAAAATTCTGTACGGTGGAATTTTATCTGTAAATCAACAAAAGGCACAGTAGGAGCATTGGGGCAAGGCAAGAGCAGGAGGCCAGATTTATAGTCCCATGTTTACTTATTTCTAATGCAGAGTCCACAGCTCTCCATTCATTTATCTTCAGGAATATGCAATGTATTTCTTCCTATTTATTCCTGGGTGAGAGTTATGTATGACTTAACATGAGACACCAGTCCAGAGATGTATATTGGATACTGTGAACTGAGAGTCCACACCCATAAAATTTTTATCTTTGGGCACTTTTTGAATGTCTACCGCCTGCAAGGACATGGTTGCAGATGCAGTGTAAGGGATTGTGCAGCTGGGCAGTTATTACCATACCTCGTGACCAGGAGTGCATGCGTTGCATTAGTGATAAGGCAAAAGGAGAGCATCCTTATTTCTCTTATCTTCTGCATCTGTAAACTGGCACTTTCTGTATCACTGTGAACATTGAGAACCAGGTACAGAGGGTCAGGTTTTCTCCATGCTTGTACTCCTGTTAATCCATTTAACTCAGTATCACAAAGAGTTAGCACAAATCAGCTGCTGTTAGTGTTTGGGACATGCTATTCCCTGCTGATAAAACTCTTCCATTTCCCTTCCACTGTAGAAAATGTTGGAGCACTTAGCAATTCTTGGAAGTTAAGTTATATATAGTGCTTTATCTTTCAGAGATGATTCTTAGTTTTGCATAATTTTTTTTCATTACCCTGGTAGGAAACTTTCCAGCCTTACAAAACTGAAAAAAAACCCCGGAATCGGTTCTCTTGGGGCAATGGCTGTGCTGGAATGGTTTTCATGTGAAGGAAGCACAAGTCACTCAGAGAGCTCCTCACATTTCAGATTCCTTTATCTTCCTTTCAGGTGCTTGTTGCACTAACTTGTGGGATACAAATCCAGGGGTATGCATGGGAACAGGGCCAGTATGTTTTTAACAGCAGATCACCAACATTCTGCAGCGCACAGAGTAACCACTCTGGCAGTAATTGTACTGATTCTAGCACTATTGCTAGACTTTCAGTTTTAGCTCTAATAAGCCATGCTATTATACCCATTTTCAAGTGACTGATGGTGGGTGCAGATAACCAAGCGAAAAATTCCTTTAAATGCAGCTCCTCCTCAGCTGGGTTACCACATGCTACCAAAATATGCATGATAGGTAAGAGCTTCCACATTTCCAGCATTACCTTGTCAGCTGAAATACAGCAGTGGAGAAAACTGTGCTTGGATTGATTCAGGCAGATTATGCTGAAGGGCCTGCACTTGCAGGGAGTGTTTATTTAGATGTATTAAGGCCAAATACAGAAAACACCCTATAAGTTGAACAAGTAGAATACAGATATATGAAATGTTTGAAAGGGTCAGGCCTTCTTTGCCAATTTCTTACCTGTAAACTGTTTGCCAAATTAGTAACAGAAGTTGTACCTGGTATTGCAAGGTTGCTATATAGGTATTCATATGCTTAGACTATTTTGTACTATCAGCTGGTACACAGGGTTCAATATTGTCATTCTGAAGTGAACATTTAAACACATAATTACATGGAGCTGAAGGAAAAATCATATTGTAATATCTAATATAAACAAGGTATTCTATTTCAAGTGATTCGGTCAAACTTAAAGTAAGAAAATCCAATAATAGGAGGCTTAAAAATAGAACCTTTCCCTTTTATTAATTTAAGCCATTTTAAAGGGCAAAAATATACCATGAAAGCTTGTATTTAGGCTCTTATTTTTCTTTTTTTAACAGGACTGGGAGTTTCCACATTTTATGGGTGATGTTGAAGTCAATCTTCCAGGCTTGCCATCTGCACACATGCAGTTCAAAGTACCTTATTTCCAAAAGATCTTCAAAGAGGAATATCACATACATATAACAGGTATGCAATCATACTGATTGTGACACAGTCACACAGTGAACTGCTTCTGTGTAATAAAAGTATGCAAACATGTTCTTAACGACATACTTTTTGTGTGTGTGTGTCCCAGATTACTATTTTTCTATCTGTTTATCTGTCCATATCTGTATCATCCATATATAAACATTTCAGGGAAATGAGGAACCTGTATCTTACGAGTCAGCAAGACCTGCTGTTTTTCATGGATTTCAGCAACTTCTTGTGACACTAAGTAATACCTAATTGTCGTGGTTTAACCCCAGACAGCAACTAAAGCCCCACACAGCCGCTCGCTCACTCCTCCCTGGTGGGATGGGGGAGAGAATCGGAAAACTAAAAGTGAGAAAACTCGTGGGTTGAGATAAAGACAGTTTAATAGGTAAAGCAAAAGCCGCGCACACAAGCAAAGCAAAACCTATTCATTCACTACTTCCCATCATCAGGCAGGTGTTCAGCCATCTCCAGGAAAGCAGGGCTCCATCACGTGTAATGGTTACTTGGGAAGACAAAACGCCATCACTCCGAACGTCCCCACCTTCCTTCTTCTTCCCCCAGCTTTATATGCTGAGCATGACATCGTATGGTATGGAATATCCCTTTGGTCTGTTGGGGTCAGCTGTCCCAGCTATGTCCCCTCCCAACTTCTTGTGCACCCCCAGCCTACTCACTGGTGGGGTGGGGTGAGAGGCAGAAAAGGCCTTGA